AGGGGGGAGGGGAGTCTCGCTTTGGCACATGGGTGACCATGAGATCTGCTCTCTTTCTTTCGTATCTTTAAACTTACTCTCAATCCTTGCTTCCATTCTGCTTCCCCTCATTTTAATCCTGCAGCATCTATCAACTCTTCATTTCCATCCTACTGAAGTTACTTGGCCACACCCTCTAGTTGACCACACCCATGATTGATCACACCCTCTAGTTGACCACACCCATGATTGATCACACCCTCTAGTTGACCACATCCATCTGTTGACTAGTGACGAGCATGCACTTCTGTACCATCTGATTTAGAACAGACGTCCTTATAGCCATGTCATTTATATCGATAAATGTTGGAATTGCAGTCGTTGTCTTGCATTAGGATGACTTGTGAACCTGGTCTGCTTTTACAGAGGGTGAAGGCTCAGACTGCCCAGGTGATGCCTTGTCCAGGACGGAGGACCCCGAAACAGAGACACAGGGAGAGAGCGGACCCAGCTCAGCCAGTGGGGTCCAGGGGAGCTTGGAGCAGCAGCTCACACAGGAGCGGCAGGACCTGAATGTGGAGGTGCAGTGGTGGTCACACTAACCCTGCCTCTAATGCAGTCAAGCTAACACAGTGCTGTAACCTAACTGGTGTCTGCGAACCTGTCCTGATCTCCCCCTCTGTAGAGCGAGGAGGACTTTGTGCTCGACCCCCTGCTGCAGGAGCAAGAGGCCCTCATGGAGACCATCAACAACTGGAACTTCCAGATATTCGACCTGGTGGAGCAGACGGGAGGGAAGACAGGCCGCATCCTCAGCTATGTCAGTACTGCGTCGTGTCCGGCTGTGGCTGACGTGTGGCAGGCTGTGGCTGACGTGTGGCAGGCTGGGGCTGACGTGTGGCAGGCTGGGGCTGACGTGTGGCAGGCTGGGGCTGACGTGTGGCAGGCTGGGGCTGACGTGTAGCAGGCTGTAGGCCTGGGCATTACCCAGTAGAAAGTTACACGCTGTGTATGTATACATTCACAATACAGACTAGCAACATGTCGTGTTACTTCACTTCAATCTTTATGCTTCAATTTGCTTTATGTATCTTGTGTAGTATATAACCTAAATTATAAGTATTGGTGATATGCAGGCAGCTCTCAGCCTACGTAGAACTGAAGTGTAAATCCAGACTTATGCAAAAAATATCCCAGATACATAGAGTTTACAGGAGTGTTAATGAAAAAAGGCAACAAAAGCCTGTAAGTAAATTTACAGGTTATTTATTTGAATATGTGTTCTTTAGTACTGATTATTAGTTTACTTTTGTCTTTCTTTGTCTTGCTATAAGCTGTCTTAAGTGGTTATGGGACAACCAGTCTGATTGCATGCAATTCGACTTATATAAGGGTTTATGGGACAGATTAGTCGAGAACTGCCTGTGTATAATTTTTACATATTCAGTGTATGTAGTACCATATATATTGATTTCATTTACTTCATTGACCAAATAATAAACAATTTTCACAGCGTTGATCTGTTATTCCAGGTTTCTGCAGCTGTGATACATAACTGGATGTGTTCAGTGATTAGCATCAGTACATAACTTCTGAACATTTTTATTTAAAAAAATATTTCAATGGTTGTATTCATTTTTCTTGTTATACTGAAGCCGTTACATTATGCTTGCTTGATTAAAAAAATAAAAAATCTTATGAAATCAACAAAGTTTGGAAATTTTAACTTAAAGGCTGACCTTTAAGCCTAAATCTAACCATGGAATGGTTCCGTATTGGAATATGATATGTGCTTTGAACGTGTTAGCTACGGTTCGTGTTCGGTTGTCACTAACAGAGTTCTGGCTTCTTCCTATTTCCACTCCAGGTGACCTACACGCTGTTCCAGGATACTGGCCTCTTTGAGATCTTCAAAATTCCCACCCGGGAGTTCATGATGTACTTCTGTGCACTAGAGAATGGCTATCGGGATATTCCCTGTAAGTGTCATCGTGTGTGATTCTTGTGCTGGAAAGAGAAGTTTAAAAAACGTTATGATTCATGGGGGAGGGGCGATTTACCGTCTTGAAAAAGTGTGGTGAATTTTCTTGAACGACTTTTCTCGATTTTAGGGGGTGACTGAAGGAACTTCAAATGCTGCTGCTTGCAGTGCTGGAGATGTGGGGCTAGAGCAGCGCCTCCTGTCTCATGTACAGTGACCTTTTGCATCTCTCTACAGATCACAACCGCGTCCACGCCACAGACGTTTTGCACGCCGTATGGTACCTGACCACCAGACCCATCCCCGGCTTCCAGCAGGCCTCCAGCGAGAATGTGACAGGAAGTGACACAGGTGAATATCGCCTCTTTCCCCTCAGGGCTCAGTGTCCCCTGTTTCGCTCTGTCTCACTCAACCCCACGCATGGGAAAGTCTTTCTTCTCTGCATTCTTCATTCTTCTCAAGATCTCATTAACAAAGATGTACAACCATCCTTCACACAACCCTTAAAGTCTAGACATATTTCTGTTAGGTAGCATCACAACAATACATTTTGCCCGGTTTACCCCATGCCACTGGAAAGAAATGTCATCTCATTCAAAAAGCAAAACACAGATTTTTACAAATCTCCTTGAACTTGCATTACAATAATTAACCTATAAAAAAACTATTTAGTATACTGGAAACATTTGTTGTGTGCTGTGCTAGTTTTATACGCCAAAGAAAACTGTTTACAGAGGTTTCTGTCCTGGAGGTTATTTTTGCTTAAGTCCTTTGTGTCTGTCAGTGTCAGAGCCTAGCCTGCATTCAGTTTGGGTTTTGATGCATTTGGGGCATATTTTACCTCCTCAGTCTGGTTCTTTTCCGTGATTCAGCTCAATCTGACCGATTAAATTTATGATGTAATATAACTTACATGCGTGTGGCTCAGTGGGCTAAGCCTCTGTGTCTGTGATCAGAAGGTTGCTGGTTCAAGCCGGCATGTCTGTGGGTCCTTGAGCCAGGCCCTTAACCCCCAGGTACCTGGGAACCGCAACGGGTGGCTGCCCTTCATGGCCAAGGTTGCTCTCATAGGGAGCAAGATGGGGCAAGCAAAAAGAGAATTTCCCCTCGGGGATCAATGAAGTATTAATTAATATTATGTACACACCCTCTTATACTGTACTTACATAGCCAGTTACTGAAAGGGGAGCAGGAGGGTACTGCTGCTTTTCCACTGGCATACAGGAACCAGGCTGTACCCGACCTGTACCGCGAAGATACTAGTTACAGCGCTGTTCCGGCCCACTTCGGTTTTACACTGCAGAGGGGGCGGCTTGGTAAACGCATTGCTGGTTTTGGTGAGCGACAGTAATGTAAAACCGTACGATTTATACGATGTACATCATAATTTACTATGTACTAATTTCCGCTAGCACGTCTGTGATAATCAGCATTTTATGTTAGCGTCAAACGCTACTGGAACTAGCATTCGCTTGTGTAATTTTGCGCTACAATTCAATTCCATTGAGCTGTTCTATAGTACTTTTATAAGTAGGAGGTTGGAAATTTTCACGTTCCAAGGTATCAGGAATGCATCAATAAATCGAGATGTGCAACACTACTAATAATGACTCATATAGAGAATATGCCCGGTTTTCCTTCAGATTATTCATGCGTATCAACACAGGTTACTGGTATCTCTGTGAATTTTTACCAGTCAGATGGTGGTGAAAAGCACCTCGCTTTTAGCCCCGCTAGTACCATGTCAGTGCAGGTGCAGCTCGAATAATTTACGGCTTGGAAACGGCTCGGATCTTTGTAGCTGTGGAAAAGCTGTGTGTTTGGCTCCGCCCATGCCTCCTCAATGCGGATGCCGATCGCCTAACAGCAGATGAGCAGTGCCGAGGTTCCCTTCCTCTGACGCCGGGCGGCCTCTGTTTCTCCCAGACTCGGACAGCGGGATCTCTCCGGGAAGAGTGGCCTACACTTCCTCCGGAAGCTGCACCATACCCGATGACAGCTACGGCTGCCTGTCATGGAACGTTCCTGCGCTGGAGCTTATGGCACTATATGTAGCAGCAGCAATGCACGACTACGACCACCCCGGTCGCACGAACGCCTTCCTCGTAGCCACTAACGCACCTCAGGTGGGTGCCCCTCCTTCCTGTCATCGCCAAGCAAAGACACGGATCACTGACCATGTTGAAGCCCTGCTTCCAGTGCCAACGGAGGCACATTAGCACGGGAAGGTAGCACTTGGGAAATGGATTGAAGAGTCGGCTTTTAGCGAATTGCTGGTTAAGACATGGGAGCCATGCCCAGGAAACGGCAGGTACAGATACCCAGGCGGACAGTAGGGCGTCTGATTCAAAGCACTTAACTGACATTTAACCGTGGTAAGAGTTTAAGTCTGACAATTCTGAGGCTGCTTCATTAAGGAGTGTCTGTCAAGCAGGCGAAAATTGTAATAGAGTAATGATCCATGTTATAAGAGAGTACAGTTATTGAAAGGTATTCAGGGCATTGGCTCTGGATGGGTCTGGGGTGCTGTATCCCAGACTGGCTGGAGCCTGGAGAGATTATGGTATATCAGGACACCAGTATGTACAGACATACCGGAACTGGTTGTGGTTCATGCCAAACATGAAATGCAGGACAACATACTTAGCAGAAACGCTTCACAGTACAATAGGTACAAAACAAAGGAACACAACAGAAGTCACAAATGTACAGGAAGCACAGTGCAAAGATGACTTCAAACAAATAAGTTTGCATATATGGAGTGGGCATTACAGATACTTGTGCTAATATTTTTGTTCCTCTGTCCTCTGCTTTCTGTTTCTCTGTTCAAAGGCGGTCCTGTACAATGACCGTTCGGTCTTGGAGAATCACCACGCTGCCTCCGCTTGGAGCCTCTACCTGTCCCAGCCCGAGTACAACTTCCTGGCCAACCTGGATCACGTAGAGTTCAAGCGCTTTCGCTTCCTGGTCATCGAGGCCATCCTTGCCACTGACCTGAAGAAGCATTTTGATTTCCTGGCCGAGTTCAATTCAAAGGTTGGTGATAGAGAGAGTCCCTAGTTATCTCAGGCAAGATGTAGCGGGATGTCTGTGTGTGTCGTGGGTTTGTCTTTGTTCATCTCTTGTTGCAAGACGTCAATTTCCCTTTGTAAGGTCAGCAACTGAATTTGTATGAAATTAAATAACTAAGGACATCTTTCTTATGCTCCCTTAAATCAGGTTAACGATGTGAACAGCCCAGGAATTGACTGGTCGAATGAAAATGACCGTCTGTTAGTTTGCCAAGTGTGTATCAAGTTGGCCGACATCAATGGGCCGGCGAAAGATGGCGACCTCCACCTGAAGTGGACAGAAGGCATTGTGAATGAGTTTTATGAGCAGGTGCGAGTGGCATTGATATCTGTCCCTTCCAATTTATCAGAGGTAGAAAGTTCAGGTCCAGAAAGTACAAATCCAGACCAAGGTTCTATTTCAACCAACCAGGATTTTGCACTTTTACTCTGAGATAACCAGTTCCTTCTCACTCTTACTTATTTTTGAGCTGCAGACTTTCTTTAAGTTTCTACCTCTGTATCATAGTGTGTGCTGAAGGTTTGGTTGTGGAAATCCACATCTGCTGTGTTTCAGTTATGGAGGCATGCCACATTTCACACAAAGGTCTTTAGTGCCATTGTGGTTTCTCAGTGTCCAGTCCCTCCTGAATTGTCCGGACTCAGATGCGTTGGTGGTATTCCCTCAGGGTGACGAGGAGGCCAGCCTGGGCCTTCCCATCAGCCCCTTCATGGACCGCTCCTCCCCCCAGCTGGCCAAGCTCCAGGAATCCTTCATCACGCACATCGTGGGTCCACTCTGCGACTCCTACGACGCGGCTGGACTGCTTCCTGGTTACTGGATTGACCAGGAGTGCTCGGAGGATGAGGAGGAGGAAGAGGGGGCGGACACGGAAACAGAGGACGATGAACTGGAGGAAGAACTTGAACCAAGTGAGATTTTATGTTCTGTCGAGACTGCAAGATTTGCGATGGTTATCACTCAGTCATCCAGCCAGTCATCTTCGGCCTGCTTATCCAGTTCAGTCATAGTGAGCCAAGAGAAGGTCCCTTTAAGCACAGGGTACACGGGGCCCTTTGACACAATATTACCTTGGGCTCCCCATCCAATTTTTACATATAATTTTATGTATTCAATAGCCCTTATCAAATGCTGCCCCCCCCCCCCCCCCCGAATCTGCATGTCCCTCTGATGCCCCGCCTTGGGAGTCTCTGATGCAAGGCCTTTACATTACAGGGCATGTGCTAACACACGCAATCAAACACTATGTGTGATTTTCAGGCACCAGTTCACCTAACAGCATCTCTTTGTGTGTGAGAGCATACAAACTGCCACACACACACACACACACGCACACTGGGACATCGAACCCATAGCCTTGGATGTGCAGGGCTACAGTGCTACAGTTATCATTACACAGCATTATAATGTCCAAGTTGGAAGGTTTGGCTATAAATCAGGTTGTTAGCTCAAATAACCTCACTGTTGTAATGAAAATGAAATCATTTATCTGGCTGTGTTAATTGCTATTGCTTCTTTTCATCGTGTTGGGTTTTGTCCAGCCGCATCTTGTGTGGAGCCGGGGATTCATTTAGGAGGCCGAGGGAAAGTCGATTCAATTACCTCCTGCTCATCCGTTAATCTTAGCATGATGCTAATTGGCCACTAGCGTCACTAGATCAGGAGGGCGGGACGACATGGCTGCCGTCCAGCGCGTCTCTCGCTCGTTCAGACCATTAGCGTTCTTGGAGCCGACGAGTCCCGTGAACATATCGCGTCACGACGGCGGGCGTTTTCAGGAGGCCCCAGGGATATTCTCATTTTAACCCTACCCCCCCCCCCCCATATTCCCCACACACAGAAAGAAGAAAGGGCCGCCGCCGGCTCTTCTGTAACATCATGCAGCACCTGGCGGAGAACCACAAGGTGTGGAAGAAGACCATCGAGGAGGAGGAGAAGAGCAAGCAGGCACAGACGCAGCAGACTGACAGCCGGCCGGCCACACCTCCCGCCTCTGATGACATCCAGGTCATCCAGGAGGAGGCTGAGGAGGACGAGCGGCAGTAGCCGGCTTTTTTTTTGGGGGGGGGGGGGGCGGGTGTAATGCTAAACCCCCCTCCCCAACCGGCTGGGAAGCCCTCTGCACACCGAACCGTCACTGTGCCGTGTCAAGGGGGGGAAACAAAAGGCCTTATTACTGTGAGCAGACTCTCACTGCGATGGTGGGAGCCCCAGTCCTATGCACTTTCACCCCATGGATTTAAAAAAAAAAAAACAAACACACGCACTTCAGCCGAGGGGGAAGCTGCGAACGGGACGCAGTGAAGACGCAGGGACCTCCACTCCTTGGTGTAAAGTTTTATCTAGCTGTGATGCTGCCTTGTTGAACGTCGAGCGCTTAAATCTCCATTAGGTACTAATAAGACAGTAAGAATTACTATAAAGAGTAACATCCACCCTCCTCCCCCCACCCAAACCTCTGAAGCAACTGACACCATTTACCAAAGTGAACCGTGAAAAAGAGGAAGATGGGTGAATCTGAGGCTTATTCAGCCAAGCAGACGAGGACAAACAAAACAAAAATAAAAACGTGAAAAAAATGACATACATGTAGGAATACATTTCAAATGTGCCTGTCTGAACTGGACGTGCAGGTTACACCCTGCACACCATGAAGAGCATGGACCATCTCCTCACTCTCTGCAGTCTCATGATGCTGGTGACACTCACTGTATCAGACTCCACCGGAGCTGACATTTTAACTGAATGCAGGCTTTCCTTTCCTGTTTAATACCCCTTCATTATTGTGTGTGGCCTATGAGATTCATTTTACTTTATTATTTTTTTTGCATTCATTTCAGGAATTCACAGAGGCCAGCCAGCTAACCCCAGTAGTCCCAGTGTTTACCATACGGGGTAGAGAACCGGAACATGTTCCACCTAAGGGATTTTTTTTAATTTTGATAAGTGTATTTTTTCACAGTTACTCAGGATTCACCAATAGATCAGAAGTTTTTTTGCAGGATTTCAGCCCATGAAGTAATAATTTCTCATGCTGTATATTATATAATATATATGTGTATATATATATATATATTATATAAAAACAGTAATTGTAACCGTTTTTATTCCTTGTACGAACAACTTGCTACAAACTCATTTTAGCTATTTGAAGACTCCAGTCCAGTGTGTGGGACCCAGGACAATCAGGCCTAGCCTGTCCTCACCAGGAAAAGCTTCCCCGAAGCTTGTGTGTGCGCGCGGACAGCGTCGGACGCAGACAAGAATCGTACATCGAATAAACAAGGTTATTTTTGTATCTGAATGGGATTAGCCGTTTGTTGGTCATTCTGCTGTCGGCATTATTTTAACGTTTCGTTCTTGTAAACTCACAGGCAGTCTTGTTTGTATTTTTTTATTTTAGGTTTTATTTAAATAATTCTGCTTAAAGCTATTTTAATGCAATATATCATTTGCCAAACGTACAGCTGGCTGGTGCGCGGATTAGCTGGTCGAGCAGCAGCGTCCACGCGTTCGGGCTCTCCGCATCTCGCGGTCGGTTGCGGAACGACGTCGGGATGTCGCGTGCCGAAGCGCATCATCCCGCCGGCGACGCAGCGCCGCCCTGTGGCCGAGGCTGCTCGCGCGCGCCCAGCTCGTTCGACACCTTTCGGAATCCCTCGGTATGGGAAGGAAAGTTCTCAAGTAGGCATTGTAAATCAGTCGAGTATATTTAAAACAAAAAAAAGGAAAAAAAGAAAATGCACCTTTTACTACCAAACAAGTGTTTAACCTCTGCACAGAAAGAGTATCTGCATATATTTTTTTTAGATAATCAATCGTATCAGAGTGCATCTGTTTTATATTTGCAGCTGACATGTTGTACATAGGGAATCTGTAATTACCATCCTGTTTCCAGAGTTTTTATCTAATACTATTTTATGGATGTAAAATCGGCTTTCACCAGTCTGGGGCATCCGACATTTTTCTTTACACGGTGCACCACCTCCCGTGTTCCTGACCATAACCACTCTCGTCCCGGCTGCCTATTTTTTTATACCCTGTGACTCGGCGTCGTCCTCCCGGACGCAGCGTCGGTGCCAAACTCTCCCCGTCCCGCCACTGATCCGTGACGCAGCTGAACCCGGATTCCCATGATGCATTGCGATTAACGTGAACCGTCCTAAGCGAGGATTTTTAAGTCTGACAGATACGCGCTTGTCACGGGTGCATCACCTGAATGTTGGGTCAAAGTAACATAGAAATAACATCAACAATAATAGTAATACTAATTTATTTCGTTGCTTTGTTTCCCCAGTCGGAGCACAGCTCAGTTGTAATGCCTCAGCTTGCCCCTACCCCTTCTTCAGTTCCAGCTCCGTATGTCATGAAAGCTAAGTGTTTATTGACTTCTTACTGTCTCATGAGCCATAGTCCTCTGATGTTCTTTCCATGCATACATTTATGAATGGCTGTCACATCTATGTAGCACCTAGATATGTATGTCTGATGTAACCATTCAGTCTTCTGGAATATGTGTGGGGGGGGGTGGGGGTCATTTTTATTGTTATTTATAGCTGTCATAAAACACATCCCTAAATACCCCCTGAGCTGTCAAGTAATGTTTATTTGTCAAACGCCTGTTTCTTTCTTTTCCAGTTAGTTGGTTTTCTTTTGGGATTCGTTTTGGGAGTGTTTGTGTATGGTGCTGTTCTCCTGTCATTGAGTGTGTGCCTGCGCGTGTGTGTATGAAGGATTTTAGATGCTTAGCCATGCAGAATAAATGGATCCTCCTCACTTAGCCAGCAGTAAAGAACAGAGATGAAGGGAAGGCTCCTGACCTTAAATATCCCAGCGATGAATTCCACTTGCTTCTGCATGGTCACAAGACCCAGGGAGCCAAGGAGCTCATCTTGGAACTTGGTAAAGTAAGTGTCAGGGGAGAGCAAAAAAAAGCTATGAGTTTTTCAGCTGTGGCTTTCATTGCATTACCATGGGAACTCCAGCCCTCCAGCGACAGTCTGATGGGCATGTAGCCGTAAGCGGGTGGTAACCCTTCTGCTTCAGCCGGCTGCGTTGGGACTGCTGTGACAGCTTGATGCTGCTGTCAGAGACGTGGTTTATCTGTGGTCTCAAGACTACGTTGTCCTCAGAGCTGTGACTGTGTCGCCAGTCCCTTGTGGTCCACCAGACCACAAGATAAAGAAATCGGTGAGAGCTAAATTGCTTTAAAGAGGTAGATGGCCATGAAGAGGAGATGTTGTCATGTCCTAGCCTTGAAGTCTAGATGAGAGCTCAATCCATGCTCCTTGGTACTGAGATCTATCCACTTATGACTGTTGTGTTTGCATTGGAGGTCCCTGTATACACGTGTTGTCGGAGGTTTGGTTAAAGCCAACTGGTCAGTCAGCAAGACATTTCTAGTCGATGGCGAAACAACGTGCATCCCATTCAATAACTCGCCAGAGTATCTTTTTGTTGCAGAACACTAGTCTAAAGTTACAGCAAGAGTATTCTGTTCTGCACAGAGAAGAAGATTATCACAATAATAAAATCAAGGCAGTAGTAATGCCTTGAATGCCATGAAGATAACTTGCATTGCAGGTATCCCAGTTCCTCTGATGTTTTTCTCGGTGTAGCAGAAACGTCCTAAATCCATCAACAAGTAGAATATCATGACGCACCCTCATGTTGATCCCCAGCCAGCATCTGTTCTGTTGAGAGTAAATCTGACACTGCTTTTTCATATACCCATTTTCTCTAATTCAAAAATTGGGTGGAGTATGAAAAACCACATTTAATATCCCAACAAATCAGTTTGCAGGCCAGACTCAGGATTCTGAAGTCAGCTATGATGGCTGTGTGCCTAAGTGCTTTCGTTTCCTTATCTCATAGGATGAAGGTTGTTTTATTAGAAACCAGGGTACGACTCTGACCTGGGTTCACAAGGTTGCCCTGAAACCGATAATGTGCACCCTCAGGTGGATGCCAACCAGTCTATGACCGCTGGGGGGGGGGGGAAGGAAAGGGTCTCCTCACTAATTTCAGATTCATCCCTAGTAAGTTTGTTCTGGATCCAACACTGGGCAGCGGAATGTTCACCAAAATCAATAATATGTAATATAATATGCCTTTAGGTATGTGATTATTTTCTATATGGTAAAAATGCATAACATATCATGCGGCATAGTGTGTTTGCGTCATGCTGCATGGCACTGTGCTGCCATGAGTCAGCCCTGGGCCCAGAGCCCCTCGCATGGCCTGGGGCCCAGAGGAAACCTGGCGGGAACTGCCACATCACCGCGCTACTTCCAGCCAGTGAAAAGTATGCAGATCAGATGGTGACTGCGGGTGACAGCCAGGTTCTTGGCAGAGCGGAATTCCCGGAACTAGACCAGTACCGGGTACCCGCGGGGATGACACACCCATGTGACTTACACAGTGATCAGTGATGCCATTTGGTTCTGATCAATGGGTCAGATTGAAGTATAAATCGTTGGTTGTTTGTAAAACATTTCCTCACGGACGCAGTGAGAAAAGCCAAGCTATGCACTTACAGAGTGAGGTGTTTGCCGGACCTGTTACTCCTGTGACATTTTTAGTTGTGGTCCATTGCCAAACACAGCCCCCACTATCAGATCGATAGAGGATATTGACTGAACGTGTACAGCCAGCGGTATCGACTTCTCCTTTAGTGATCACTTTTAAAAATAGAAAACGCTCAGTCTGAGGTTACTGCTGGTTCTGATATTAACCCTTATAGGCCTATGGGCCGGTTTGGATGCTTTTACTACAGATTTATCACATTGTGTCCAAGTGCTTAAGTATAGTTGAAATGCTTTTATTTTTAAAATAAATCAATACCCTTTGGAGAAATTTATATTTATTAATAAAGACAAATATAATTTAATATTATATCAAAATTTTACAGTGCAAGGGTTTTTACTTGTGATAGAGACAAATGGCACAGTGGGTTGCAAGAATCAAGAAAACGACTGGATATTTGTATTTGTATCATTTTTGAATGGAAATTGCTTGATTTATTACTGTAATCCTTAACTTCTTACCTCAATGCATGTCTTTTTGTTTTAATATACACATCCAACTTTGAAACACTTGTATCAGTAGCTACGTGACAGGCCGATACCCTGCCAGGCCAGAATCGCAGGTATTGAAATGTACCCGCTTTCTGGTTACTCGCGTTCCTAAGGCAAAGTCCTAGGAACAGGATCCCTGTGTACACAGAGCCCACCAGGCTGAGCCAAAGGGGAGGGGGGGGGGGGGAACTTGCACAACACGCAGGGCGCGGGAATGTAGAAAGTTCCGGGAAAAGCAGATGTGCACCTGACGCAGCAGGACTGAGTGTTCCAGTTTATCGGCGCGGACAGCTACACGATCCAGAGACACAGAGGGAGGTGGACCCCGTTCACTCGCACCGATGGACTCTCCTCTGACTCCTGTCTGTGTGAACAGGTGTGTGTGACTGCATTTCTAGGGTTATATACCTTGTGGTGTGGAGAGCATAGAGAGGGTACACATACACACTGCTCCTCACACTCGAGATCTTTACCATGCATGCTTACTGTTCTCAGTTGCATGGCCTTGAGTTTTCTGTGGCTTTCTACAGAGCTGACGGGATTTTCCCGGAGAATGTCCACCGGGAACCAGTGCAGTGTTTCGAGGGATGTATTCAAATGCTGTCTGAGCTCACAAGCCCAGAGTCCAGCCTCACTGGCAGGCAGGTCAGTGTGGCCATGGGTCTCTGCTCACTGCTGCCTCCGGACTGCACAGATGTTGTAGGGCAGAGGCTGTAAGGTCATGCCCAGTTTGGGCGTGAGGCTGGGAACGAAGCCTGCTGGAAACTGCAGGCAAAATCTCTGCAGCATGGTGGTGAAGAAGAGGAACAGCTCCATTCTGGCCAGCTGCTCGCCCAAGCAGTGTCTCCTTCCTGGAGGGGAGGAGCAAAGACATGAGACGAGACAACAATGGTGGGAGGGAACATTACCCAGCATTCCTGAGTACATATCAACCTCTCAACACTAACCATAAACATAACTGAAGAGCAAATTTCCAGCACTTACTCAGTCCAATTTTTGTTGGTTTTGAGACCACCAATGATCTAAAATCAGGCTTCCTCATGATATGTTACAGTTTTGGTAACCAAGACTCAACTCAGTCCTCATGGAATCTGATGAAGAACTTACATTAATTTCCAAAATTCTTAACTCGTATCCTGTTCAATTTTGGAAATTTGCTCCTCCATTATATACACTGCAACCTAAGTGCTTTGATGGTGATTCACAATAGATCGCACAGACCGTTAGCTAGGAAAGTTGTACAGTGCTGTTCAGTGCACGGAGGGGGGACTTGCCCAATGAGAATGGCAGGAATGCCTCTCGTCGCACGAAATTGCCCTGGCTGTCCAGGAAACGCTCCGGCGAGAAGATATCCGGGTTGCTCCAGTGCTTCTCGTCAAAGTGCACAGAGTACAGGTTGGTGATCACGGTGGTGCCCCGTGGGATGGTGTAGCCCCTCACCAGCGCGTTCTCTGAGGTGGCCCGGAAGATGCCCAGGGGCACCACGTTGCAGAAGCGCAGCACCTCGTGCAGCACAGCCTCCACGTACGGCATCCTCAGCCTGTCCTCCAAGCCAGGCGGCCTGCAGCTCCCCACCACCACGTCGATCTCCCTCTGCACTTTGTCTGCCAGAGGAGAAAAACCACAGGGTCACTAGAAGCGACACTAGCAGCTTGCAAATACTGGTAACAGCTGTAGTGCTTTGAATTTCAGGCAGACCTGGCAGTGAGATATGTAATATATCTCAAATGCTTTCCTTCTAAAGCTATCCTTTTTAAAAAGTCGGCTTTTCTTTGTCTGACAGGAAAAATAATAACTTCCTAATCCACTCTGGTGCCTCTGATTAATACAAGTAATTTTTTCCAGTCGTCTAACAGGCTGGCAAACGCCCTTCTCAACAGTGCTGCCTGTCTCCTGCCCCCTACTGGCAATGGAAGAAATAAGGCTTCAAAGTCTATGGTGGATGGGATGTACCTGCGCTGTCAAAAACTGACTGGTTTAACCAGAGGTGGATGGTTCAGGTCCAGAAACTAAAAATCCAGACCAAAATTTTGTTTCAACCAACCAGTTCAGTTTATAGAGTCCGCATCACAGAGTATGCATCTGGCTAGTTGAAACAAAACCTTGGTCAGGATGTTTTATTTTCTGGACCTGAACTATCCACCTTTGAGTTTAACCACTTCCCAGGGTGTTTTTTTGGTTCCCCTTCAGGTGAACCACAAAGTGTTTTAGAGATACGAGACTTAGTCTACCCATCTGCTACTAACAAGCCACCAAACTGGGCACATCATTATGGACTCAGCTAAAGGGATTACAGGTTAAATAATGTCCTGGAAAGCAGACCTTGATAATCATTTCCTCTTTCTAATTTAATGTAAAATGACATCTGTAGTAATTATAGGAATGATACCCAGTGAGTGAAGAGCGGTGTTTCAATATGGGCTGTGACATTATGTAACATGCATTATAAGGTAATAAAGCCTCATTGAGGCGTTCTTGCCCTGCACGCTGGGGTAGAGCGCCATGTAGAGCATGGCCCAGCGAATGGCGTTTGTCGTGGTCTCCGTGCCGGCAATGATAAGCTCGCCCACGGAGAAGATCATGTTCTCCAGGGAATAGGAAGAGCCCAGGTCTCCTGTGCTCTGCTCCATCTCGTCGTGGTAGGCGTCAATGTAGTGCCGCGGCGACTGCGGCATGCGGCCCTGCGAGAAGCGCTGGATGAGCTTCAGCAGGAAGTCGTACACTTCGACCGCGTTCCGGAACAGTCTCTGGTGCTTGCCGAACGGCAGGATCTCAATCCAGGGGAAGGCGTTGTAGAGGAAGGCCCAGCCGCTGGCGGCCAGTTCCACATTCTCGCTGAAGATCTCGATCATGTGCTGGAAGTCCGTGTCGTCGTAGGTAAAGCGCTCCCCGAAGACGATGAGGTTGGTGATGTTGGACACGGCGTTGGTCACCAGGTGTTTGGGGTTGAAGGGCTTCCCCTTGTGCTCGTCGATGGCGTCCACGAAAAACATGCACTCTTCAGAGATCTTGTTCTCGAAAGTTTTTTGGCCCGTGCCAAAGTAACGAAAGCTGTTGACGGCAAGCTTGCGGTGTTCTATCCATCCTCGTCCATACCTGCTGTTCAGAAGCCCTTTTGCACAGAAGACAACAGAACTGAAGAGAATATATCTTTTTATATATATTTATTATTATATTATGATACTTATACCTTCTTCAGCAGACTTTAAAATATTTTACATATATTAAGGTACCACTTTACAAGGCTTCATTTTGCAACTTATAGATGGTAATAACTCATTAATTAAAAAACTGCTATAACTTGTCTATTAATGATTTACAAAATGTTACAACCTAATTAATAGCCTGATTATAAACGCTTTATAAAGGTCTGATTGTAAAGTGGTACCCATATTAAAATAAAACTATGCATGTAATATAAAGACTAACTGACGAGACACATGTTTTGTAGTGAATTCAAAGTAAGATGAACTTGGATAGAAGCACCAAACAAACCAGTTTCTTAAGTTTCTTGAGGCAAACAGTAAAAGCTAAAGAAAAGATGAGAATCATTTGTACCTCCCATCTTGGTCATCTTCTGGAACAATGGCAGTGAGGGTCGGTCTGCGAAGACGTCTCCTTGGTGCACGAGGCACTCTTTGATAGCGTCGTACCCGTTCAGCACCACGGTAGAGATACCGCCAAGGTCAAGACTGAAGATCTAAAAAAACAAAGATAGGTAAATAAATAACGAAAACGAATATCAGTACTGAAACTACTGTATGAGGAAGTGTATTTGGGGTTTAACTCGTTCTTTCATGTAAAACATTCATTTTTTAACTAAACCGGGCACATCTAAAGCAATTCTTGTATCTACAAGTTAATTTCTCCAACATGGTTCTTGGGTAAAAGGGGGAAAAAAAGACGAAAACCGGTCGGACCGGTAATTACTGTTCACAAAGCACAGAAGAGCGGATGATGTAACCCGACTGAAAAACGAGCTCAGCATTTCTGCGATCTGCTCGGGGTCTCACCGGCTGCCCAAACCCAGTCGCGCTTCTCCTGAAAGCTGGTCCCTGCTGCCTTAACACTCCTCTAACTTATGTGCAAGTCTTTGTCCGTAAAACATACATCCAGAAAAAGCAGAATAGTTGAAATGCGATGCATTTCTTTACTGACCAGGCCCAGACTTCCATACTTGCTAACTCCGCATCAGTATAGATAAATGTACAGCAAAACATTTAAATATGCATGGAATCCATTTTCGATTAATGTTAGTGCATTAAACGTCATGCTGTCATTGTTACAAGATGCACCGCCTTTTACACCGTGGACATTATTTCAAGTTGCAAATGAATAAAACGCCCGCCGATGTGTGTTGAAGTACCGTACCGGTCCGTGGATTTCACTCTGATTCTTCATATATACGTGCGGTTCCGAGGCAAGAGACCATATATTTCCAATAATGGGCAGAGATGTAGGTCCGGGGGGAAAGCCCCGCGGTCTCCTCTGCTTTACGAGCTGACGGATGAATAACAACAAAAGAAAGCAAATTAATAAGCTGCCTAAAACTAAGAAGGTCTGTCCATAGGACACGGTCCAGGGGCTCGGCAATCTGCTGCTGGATACCATTTCTAAGCCGCGCCGAGGTTTCCATAGGAAGCAAAGTTTTCTTCTAACTAAGGATTATATTATCACTTCGCACATGTTGCTATCCCCGCCTCCAGCACACTAACATTGGCTAGACATCGTAGCCGCGATATTTGCAATTGACGAACTTTGATTAAAGTCGCCACTGAGACTACACTCCCAGCGCTTTAGCCGCCGAGTAACCGGGAAGCGCTTCTGCTTCGTGTCATTCCGTAAAGGATTTTTCGCAGAATGCCGATTTATTATTAGAAAGTGCACACGATGTAATTCAAACAGTAGATATGCCAACGCGTATTCGTTGTTTGAGTTTTCCAAGTTGTTATTATCATTTATTTTATTTTTTAACTCACCTTTTTCCCAAAGCCTAACAGGAGACATGCGGGTGTGACCGCGCGGTATGCATCCGATCGCACGTATAACCGGCGTAAATTTGAAATTGCTGTAATTCTGCAATTCTTCTAAAATGGCAATTCTCTTTAAAACTCGAATAATTACACTAATATACAATACAAGAAACTGAAAATAAGAAGGATTTTTTTTAAATGCCCAGTACTTAGCCCTTGCCTTATCGAAAAGTCACACAAATAAAAGCCCCGGAGGCAAACTGGTGACCATAAATTAAGTTTTTAGGTGATGAGGAGAAAAAATTATTATGGACATTTCTGGTAGGGCCTGAATGTGAACTGGCCTAAGGGAAAGACCATTACCTATTGTTCCAATGGCACCACATTTAGAGCCCAACCTTAAAGTTATAACCAAACCTAACTATGTGTAGCTTTAATTATTTGACAAGCAAACTTGATCTGTGGTTATAGTTAGTGAGGGGATATAGTAAGTCACTGCTGTGGGTGTTGCCAAGAAAGTCTCAATGCAAACAATGTTCTTTTGTGATATATGTTTATATTTATATAATGAACAGATAATGCACAGCACATTACTGGGCTAATATCCCTTGCTGCAGCCTGTGTGAGGGATCTTCCACATGAATGTGACTCTTGCCCTTTAGGGATTTTGATGATGCACACAGTGCACCTTTGGCCCAGTCAGCTGGACACCTCAATGCAGTTCAAGGGTCAGGTGGGAAACAACCCCCACCCACCCTGATTGCTTGCATCTGGTTTCATCCAGATTGTAAATCTTCATCGCTGTTCCCCAAATGCATTCTGTTCTGTGTGAAAGTTAGAACAACCTCCACAAAATATTGTTGGGATTTTTAACCTCTGTCCTCAAAATACAAGCCAATTACTTGGCTCCTTCTCGGGTTTTATCTTGCTCGCTCCTCTGTGGACATTTCAAGCTGCTTGCTGGATGGATCTGTCTTAATTAGAGCTTCCTGTTTTTAAAAATGTGTGTTTGCTAAATTCTCCACTTGCACAAACACTGTTGGGGATATGTGAGTCCATCCTAGATCCATATTAATGGCCAGTCACTTAATGCACCAGAGCCTTAATGTAAACCTGCAGTTTCTCAAATCTTAATTTCTCAAAGCATTGCTGGCAGAGTCATGAATGAAAGTAGCATCTGGATAAGAGCCAAGTTCTTTAATTGCATTTCTAAAAATACTGCAGATCAGGGGTCCAACCTGAACAACATCAACTAAACTGTAGAACTGGCCTCAGAATGAGAAAGCTGGGGTTCTTTCAGGACACCTGGTGCTACTCTTCTTATATTTGTTCACATATTGGCTGCTTCTTTGTTGGGTAACTGAGCTTTCGTGGAGCATGAACAGAAAGGCAGTGTTTGGTGTAAGTTAGAAGGGGCCTGTCCCTCTTCCCAGCAGCTACTGCCCCTTCTGCCACAGCACACCTGGTAGATGTTCTCCATTAAAAGACATTTTCTTGTGCCCCATGCTCCAACAACGTCAGTTTTTTTACTTGTCTTAACAAGGCCTTTCCCACTTCCATGGTTGATTTTCTAGAAAGTTCCTCGGTGCTGTGTTACTTTTCCAGTTCACACATGTTTCTACATTTGCAGCAGCATCGCAGGATGTTATGAGTCATGTCATTATGGACTCTGTACAATCCAAGGGGATGCAGGGTCATAGCAGGACACTTTAGCATTTTTGTTTTTATCAGTTTAACAAGAGGCTTTTAATGGAGCGAAGAGATCTGCAACATAGATAAGAGCAGCTAAATCATCGCTTCCTTAGAATCAGACATCATAAAGGTGGTCAGTGTGACAGTGCTTCTGCCTTAAACATTTTTAGCTTGTAGCACGGGCTGTTGGTATATTTAGCATATAGCACTGGCTACAGACATGCATGCATCCATCTTCCAACCATTGGTCCAGTGCAGTGTCACGGAGGACTCTGGAGCGTATCTCAAGCAGAACAGGTCAAAGTAGGGGGACACCCTGGACGAGATGCCAGTGCATCACAGGGCACACACTCGGAGTTACACACGCTGGGTTGTCCACCTAACCGCATATAACCAGTCTGACTTCCTCCTCTTTAAAAAATGGGGCTCTTTTTGTATTTGTCTGAGGGTGACACACAGGGGACACATCAGCCATTGGCTTTTTTTAGCGGCTCATTGTCAGTCGATCCCCCAGAGTTCCTGTCTTCCTGCTGCTGTGACGTAGAACCTCAGTCTTGTCCCAACCGACGGAAAATCTGACACCCAGCAGAAATCCCATCGTGTCCGAGACTCTGGACTGTAAACAATGAAACCAGAACCAATTTATTTATATATCTTCAGATAAAAGTAGTCAGTAAAATGTACATTTATCTCTATGTCCCTGATCAGGGTAACTGCATGAAAAGAGGGATGGATGGATATTAAAGTATTCTTGCATGGTCTAATTGTGTCATTTGGGAATGTATTTCACATTTTTAATTTTTCATATTTGCAGAATGACTCTACACCCACATTTGAAAATGTCCAAGTCACTCCTCCATGTGTCTCTAGTCTTGTCAGAACACAAACTCGGGTTTAGCTGAGACTGGCTTTATTGTGGATGGCACAGCAGGCAATGCTGCTGCTTACAGGTGGTTTCAAACGCGGCCTCCACTCTGTGTCACTTATAACCTGGTCCTCTGGTTTTCTCTCTCAGACATGCAGGCTAATTGGTGTACGATTGTATGTGCCCCGTTATGGACGTGCATCCTGTCCATTGGTGTACGATTGTATGTGCCCCGTTATGGACGTGCATCCTGTCCATTGGTGTACGATTGTATGTGCCCCGTTATGGACGTGCATCCTGTCCATTGGTGTACGATTGTATGTGCCCCGTTATGGACGTGCATCCTGTCCAGGGTCCTCTGCCTGGGAATGGCTCCAGCCAGACTCCTCCCTTCATGACCCAGCTCCATATAAGTGGTTGGAAGATGGATGGATTCAATGTTGCAATACTGTAGAACACAGAAGCACAGCACCCCGAACTTGTCTGTCCCAATGTTACTGTGAGGTTTTCTGTCCAGTGACCTCTGAGTCCACTAGACAATCACACCAATAAGAACAGATAACTGCCAGGGCTTGTGGCCACTGACTACACGGGCGGGGGGGGGGGGTCAGTGCGGTGGTCAGTGCCCCCTGAGGGGGAGACAAGAACCAAAGCACATCAGTAAAAGAGCAGAATGGAAATAATAGAACACTGAAATATAAACACTTGTACAAGATATTCCAGTCTGGCATTCCAGGTACAATGAGACTGAGCTCTGAGTAAAGTTACTGTAGTCCATTAACACAGGAAGGATTCTCATTTGTCCTGTTTTATTGAACCAGTGATTTTAATCAGTGTACAAGGCTTCTTTCCCGGAGTGGAGAACAAACTGATGCATAACACTCAACTTCAAACTACAGACGTAAATGTACATTAAGAAGGTCATCGTTAACTTGACATTAAGCTCTCGTCGATCCTTCTCTCTTCTTTCCTCATACCTAATGGGTCACTTTGGGTAAATTTCCGTAGCCGCTGCCTACAAGTGTTCAAATGTTTTCCTAACGGGATTTACGGGCGTGTGTACCGTATAACCGTAGAAGTTGGTGTGCACACTTGATTAATCAGCGCGCAGTTTGTTGGCGCAAATTGTCCCGATTACATTTTTGAGCCATTAAATGATATAAGCTAGTGATCATCATTGGTTTAGCACTAAGGTGTTCCTTTAAATTGCTGTCAAGCTGTCCATCAGAAGTCTGCTCGACATGTACTCTGAGACGTGGTCTGCACAATCGCACAGGAAGAAAGGCTGCAACACTCAAGTTCCTAATTGACAGCGCATCTCCGTTTCTCACCGCGTCTGTACAAACCCGGGAATTCATAAAAAAGGATTATGTGCGCACACCTCCGCAGCCGCTGGCTTCCGCGCTGCAGGGGGGACCCAAGCGCTGTCCAATTTCCCGTGATTTACTCGTTTTGTTATCTGCCCAGCGCTCCGTTCAATAGCACTAAAAGGCTCATCCCCGCTAATGGGGCTCCTCCGTGACGCAAAGGAAGCCTCTCGGAATGCTTAATGATGCCCAAACCGATAATGAAAACTAAGAAAAATGATACGCTCCTTCAAACAATAGTAATTCCCCAAATCTTAGGTGCCTTTGTCGCTTTTCTTCAACGGTCGTTTCACTGTAACCCGGATAATTTAGAAATATACACGCGTTTAATTAAAAATGTAAAACGGCAGCGCCATTAAACGTCGCTGAGATACTACCCTGACTTGAAAGTTATTTTAACCTGATCTTAATGCTACATTTGTATAAGGCGATGCGGCTAATCAGGCAATTAAGTGATACACAAAAAACACTTTTAAACCAAGTTATTCAGTGTCAAAAGAAGGAAATCGAAAACATAACGGAAATAATAATGATTTTATAACAACAGTATTATTAACTGCCTCGGCAATTATATGCACAAAAGAAACACAATATACCGAATAGTCTCAATAAGAATCCTATTGATGTGACCGGTATTGAATGAAATATTTAACTCATAACAGAAAATAATATCTTTATGATGCATCCGTAATAATCAGACACAACAGTTTTTCTTTACACTGGTAATGAAAATGCGGTTTCAAAAAGCAAAGGGGTTCGGAAAATAGCAACATATAGACGCATTACCACGTAACTCATCTCTTTTAAAATGCGTATTTGTCTTTCTACCCAAAAAGTTCTAAAATAGTCCCATTTATTAATTAAAATGCAGGCAAACATTTCATTCTGCAAACCCATTTAATACATTTTGTTTTGTGATACCTGTGTTGTTTTCAGAAATCCATACTCTTGCACAATTTAATGTTAATGTTAGCGACCACCCACAGAAACTGCAGTACACTTTTTTGCACAGTAGATGTCCCCGGCGTTAAGTTTTGTTCTTCGGTTTCAATAATTTCATATTTGATACCTGTAAAGTATTTTGGGAGGCCAATTAAAATATTTATGATGACTTTCTTTTTTATTTGTTGCTGTTTACTTAACGACCTTGACACTTATTTAGACATGAAATGGTTAAAATGATCTTGGCATATTTTGTGAATGGAGCACTTTGTGACTAAAGAATGACGTAACTGGACTGCCATATACCTTTTCGTGTGCCAGAAGTAAGAGGTGGCCTCTGATTGGCTGGCTGATGAAGCTGTGCTTTGTGGTTGGTGGATGACAGATAATTAAACTCCTACACAGTCAATACACAAACCCTAGTGGTAGATATATAGGGTAGGGCTCTGTAGCTGTGTGCAGCAGTATCAAGAGTTGGGTGTACAAGTGGAAAGACATCTACTTATCCTCTTAATTTTGCAGAAAGGTCTAATATTCAAGGTAAGTAAAGACCTTTTACATTATTTCCACAGGGCATAATTTGCTGAGATGCACGAACTTTCCGTCTGCTTCTTTTGCTGCAGATGACTAAATCTGCAGGAAATGTCTTGATGTAATTCAATTAAGGTAACTAAGATTAGAGACTCGTCCACTTGGCCAGATTTTTTACTTGCAGTGTTAGAGGAAGAACAGGGATCTGATGCTCAGCATGCGATGTGAAGTGACTGTCAAGGCATCCTGAAAGAGCAGGATGTACCTCATTACTCTAATGTGCCAGCTCCTCGGGGAGCAGCATCCCTCAGTCCAGCATCACTGCAGAGTATCCATCCTGGTGTTGGCATCCGAGGAGAGAGAGAGGGTCACCCAGAGCAGGACAAAGCTGAAAACCTTTTAACACCTGCCTCATATGGAGCCAAACGGGTGATGGAGGCATTAAGTTGCATCTTCTTTTTGCTGTTTGACAGATGTAGGAGAATGACAGCTTCTGGGCTGAGAGTCAGTGGTAGCCCAGGAGGATAAAAGCATGTCTTGTTGGTCCTGTACAGGCACTTTTGTACAGGCTGTTAAAGTCTGAGCTCTAGGTGCAGTTGTTTTGGGGTATCTTCATTAGTAGACCATTTGGGATTTAGTACCTTGGCAACCTTCATGCATCATGTGCGACAGGAGAGAATCAGTGATCTTCTACCCGTGCACTTCTACTATTGTCAAACTGTTGTGTGACTTTCATACTTTTCATATTTTTTTAAGTGACTTTGATGCCACTGATGGCTGAGCTTTCTTATGTCTAATGCCTCTGGTACTGACGAGCACTGGCTTTTTGCCACAGGAAACCATGGTTGTGTTGAAGATTTCGGCTTTCCTCGCTGCCTATGCCCTGGTCATTTGTCACATGTACTGCTCACATGCCGCCCCCGTCAGGTGAGAGAGAGCACTGCAGTCATTGTTTTCATGACGTTCAAGTCTAAGCTTCACTCAATCCAAAGCAGGCAAACGCACTACATGACAAGCGAGCCTGACACTGCTGCTGATCTGCAGAAACATTCTGGTCTTTTTATGGTCTGGATAGTTGGGTGCTCCTCATGCTGCACTCCATTTTCAGAATTAGGGGACATCATAAATTTGAACTTGGCTCCTTGACAGATTTTAAGTGGGATACTTTTAGCAGATTGTTTTGATCCTGGCTGGGGTCCATTGTAGTAACGAATGATAGTGACACACTCCCAGATTTTTTTTTCTGAAAGCCATAGCAATAATTCCTCACATGTCTGATATAAGTTTCATCTTCCCCCTGTTTGCCTGCAGACCCGGCTTGGAGTCTGTGACAGACCAAGTTACACTGTCAAATTATGAAGCTCAGAGGTTGCTCAATGCCATAATGAAAGAGTTCTTGGAAATGACGATGGAAGATTTTGACCAACAGGAGAACGACGGAAATAGGTACCGACCTCTTTGGAAGCTCAACAGCTTCATTGAATGTTCTCTGCAAATTGGATGATATGAAATGTTCACTTAAAATGAACCAACTCATTCTATTGCCAATATTTGGCATGATGTGGCAGGTGAAATAGTTTTCAGTGGCTCACTCTTCTATTTTAACCATCAATCTCTACTCTGTTGCGGAGCAATACCACACCATTTCAACTAGAACTCAGTCCTGCAAGTGTTTGATTAGAGTCTCGAGGTATGTGCCCAGAGCAAGGACCACATTACCATCCCTAAGCTTGGAGTTCCAAGTTCCTGTTGGGCGGTTCTCTGTCGATCCATCCCGCATGGACTGGTTTTGATTTCTTTCCTCACATTATGAGTCCGTGTTTCAGAGTCTGTTTGTCTGCTATGCGAGAGACAGCTTGCGGCTGCATGATCCTTTTAAGTTGTGCAAGAGGAAAATGCTGCATGACACCAGTAACGACCGGATCTGTGTTTTTCAGCCACGTTGGCAGATGAGGGTAGAGCATGCTTACAGGATGACAGCTGGTAGTGCCTACAGAGTGCGGGTGGGGTGGGGCATGGTTTGGGAATGTCCCATTCAGCATGGTTTGGAAGAATGCCGTTTTCCCTTAAGATGCATCCAGGCTAAACGATGCATCGGCAGGCCTAACTGCATGGCGAGGGGAGGATGAGGTTGCCGCGACGACAAGGCGGCCGCATGCTGCTGTTCCCGCGAGCCTGTCTCTGCATGTCCTTCTCTCCCCACAGCCCGGACAGAGGCATGTCCAAGCGCTGCTCCAACCTTAGTACGTGTGTGCTGGGCAAGCTGTCTCAGGAGCTGCACAAGCTGCAGGCCGTCCCGCGCACGGACGTGGGAGCGGGCACGCCCGGCAGGAAGCGGAGCCTCTCCGGGAGCGACAGGGAGCCGCACACTGACAACTAGGCAGCTCTGCTCCTCCCTCTGCCGCCCCGTCTTCCTGCTCCTTCGTTTTGATTTAATCTGTGATGCATGTGGATCTTGTCTGCTTGACTGACACCCTCGAAACAGGACTAAAGACCCTTCAAATATTCCTAATGTGATGATACTTCCCTATTTCGACAGAGAACGATGTGCAAAAAGAATAATGAGACAATCAAAATCAACCAAACGTTAATGAATTTAGTTACACTGGTTTACTTAAACCTGCAAAATGCAGAAAGTAGGCTTTTAAGTAGCTTAATAACCCAGAGTAATAACAATAGTACTGTAATAAAACTTACATATAACTGATATTAAATCCTTCTTATAAGCTTGACTGCGTTTCATGCCTAATAAACTTATTTTCCAGAATGTCCCCCCTCTTTTATTCAAGCATAGCTACATATGAATGTATGTTATTATAAATGCTGCTCATCCATTTTTAATAACCCTGGCTACTAAGTCGTACTTTATCTCCACATTTCCAAGGGGCTCAGGTAAGCTGTTAATTGTTATACTGCAGATTCATTACCAGTAGTCCTTATCCGTACGTTGTATTTAGATGAAGTGTGTTGTTTGATGGAGGGTAAATATTTTGATTTGCAATCACGCCACTTCCACAGTAGCCTGGCATTTCTAAGACGTCCGGCGACATGTATACTGTGCGGCTTGCAGTAACCGCGTCCTGTCTCCCGAAGCAGCGTGACAGCGCAGAAGCGCGCCTGCAACACCGCTACCTGCGTCACTCATCGCCTGGCGGACTTCCTGAGCCGGTCGGGGGGCATGGGCAACCGCAACTTCGTCCCCACCAACGTAGGAGCCAAGGCATTCGGCCGGCGGAGGAGAAGTACCTCCATGTGAGCCTTTTCGGGAAAGGCGGTGAGTATAGTCACGTCACTATCTCTGTTCACCTGCTCTGTCCCACACTTCTCAGGTATATTAATCCACAACCTAGGCCACAAGGGACACTATTATAACCAGTGCCTATAACAAATTAATATTAATACATTAATAATAATTACATTAAATTCATGTAATCTTCATAGTTATTAAAATGAACGTGAAATGTCAAGAATGACCTTTTTCCATTTCGAAATCAACTGCAGTAAGGAGGTATATTAATGAATAATCCAGAGATCGATTTCGAGGGAGTCACGGGAAGCTGACCTTTCTGCTCTTCCTTGTTTTGCAGGGGTACGCTCATCACATTCACTTTCAGGCACACGAAAAACGGACCCTCATATGAAGCAGAAGAACGGCGTGCAGACAACAGGACTGACTTCTTGCATTTTTTCCTGATCGTATGATTTTTGCTTTTCGTCGAACATGGAAAAAAAGATCAAATAGAGCACTTTCATAATGTATATGGTCATAGAACCTCAAAGTACAGAAAACTACATTTTTTAATATATACAGATTTGTTTGAAATAAACGGAAAACTGCACTGGTTCCATACTTCTCTTTTAACGTAAACATATGTGTCATGCGACCCGCTGTCCTCCATCCGTCCGAGCAGCGCGCTGGGGGGGGGAGGGGGGGTAGGCCTATATTAAGGCGGGACGCTACCTTCACATTGACCCTGTCTTGTGCCTTGATGTAAAACACTTTTCGTGACATGATTGTACAGTATATTAAAAAAGAACATAAAAATCTATAAAACTAATATTGTAACAAATGTTAATTTCAGCAAGATTAAAATGTATTTTAGATACATTTGGGTTGGATTACTTGTTTTATTCCGCAGAGGCTGACAAGTAAAGTTAAGCGATCAAAATCACCGTAGTACCTGTGTAGCTATATTTGCCAGCTGTATCTGACTGCCAAGTCCTACACATAAAAAACGAAATATTCTTCGGACTGACCAGACTTGCCTTACTCACTTGGCGTATCCATCATGTTCAGCTTTACTCACTAGGTGTATCTGCTGGACGGTCCAATGTCAAACAGCACACAAACTGTTGAACTCAGTTCTGGAAACCGCTGGAAAGGTATCTTTCACTAAATTCTCCAATGGGACAATTCAAAAGAACGTTATAGTAACCGAAAGCCTAGTCCAGATCCTAGCAGTTCAAGATTCTCAGTTTAGTGATTATGGAAATACAGCCAACAACATGGAAACATAGGACTATCAGGAGATATAACAAGGAAACTAGCCCGATAAATGACATAATGTCTGTGAGCAGCAGACATTTGTAAACACTTAATCCTCGCTGTTATGCGCTACTGCATGTTTTGATTAGTTTGCAGTCTGATTAAGCACAGTAGGATGTAGTGTCACCCGACAGAGAAAGCGATGAGACGCCGGATTCTGCATGAACCTTTTCGCTCAGAAGTTTTGCCTCAGTTCTTATTTCCCCACATCGAATAATAATAAAAAATAAAAAAAAACTCGTAAAGCCACGTGTTACATTTTGAATATTGAATATACAAAATTGAATTTGCTGAATCTGTCGATCTGCAGCTGATTTGTATTGCTGGTGGTGGCAGTAATAAATATTACTGCTTTTAACTGCATGTAATAGCTGTTGTGCAGATTTATGGATCTCGTAGGGGCCATGAGAAGCCTTCTAAGCCCAGCTCGTAAGATCTGCCTCGTATTTTCCAAACCATGTGACCCAAGCAATACCCATAGACGAATCTGCGTTTAGATGTTTCTTCCGATTGAGAAACATAAACGAAAGAAATCGACGTTTTAATAAATAGCTCATACCACTGCTTCTGCAAATAGGAGATGCGGGAGTTTTAGCCCTTGATCGTCTAAATATGAAGTTATTTGACGTGAACCGATTCTATAATTTATACGTAGTGTAACAGCTTGTGCTCGGATGGATGTTCAAGTAAAAGTATTCAGCTATTGCAACAGGAGAATTATACAGAGACTCGGCACGCTTCCATTTTTTGGGTTTTCTTCTGGGATCCACCAGCAGGTGGCGATGTAATAGTCATCGAAGCAGTATTCAAGACGGCAGATTAATATAATTGTCTGCGTTTCATTTCCTCACGTCTGCCGCTGTAGAGTTGTGGTACTTCCTAGGTCCGATTCTAGCCAAAGTCAGTTGGTGGGGGAAAAACCGAGACTTTAAGCGCAGTTGTCTCTTAGGAAGGTAAACGTTTTTGCATGTTTTCAACACGCCTATTGATTTATCTATGTTTACCGCATCCACCTGTACCTTCCGTGAATGTAATGCATTAAATTTCAGGTTTCTGCATAGATGACATAACTACAGTAGCCACCCGTATGTGAAAAAAAGTAACTGCAAATAAATGATTTGATTAGCCTACTGTTTTCGATTTTTTTTTGTATATCGGCCTGTTATTTTTTATTTTGTCCAGTTTTCTTCTTCGCGTAATATAGTTAAGAGGACGATAGCTGTTAAGCAGAGTACTATGCATATTAAATCTTCAGGTGAAAGGTGGATTAATTTGTATGCGAGGACAGGCGGTTATAGTAGATAAATGGATGGATGCATGGATAGATGGATGGATAGACAGACGGATGGATGAATGGACTGCCCAGTGTATATCCTCTATTTATGACTAAACCGATTTAATTTGACTGCTAATGTGTCTATGAAAACGAATGGGTCCCCTGTGGGACAGTGGCCGTTTAATGTCTGCATTAACCCTGCAATTAAGTAAAACAGGCTACTTTTAATAGGTAGCTACTGAAGCCGGTGTAGGAATACTGAAAGAAGTGTGACATCATAATCCTGGCAAGGTGCAACAATGTTCTAGGATGTAATTAATGTGACGCGTATTACGAGATATTTAGAAAACCCTTCTACTAATATGGGAACCTCGCAGGCCCAAAAACAGTAATGAAACCTGAAATTTAAGGTTTTTATCAAGCGTTACGTATCCTTGAATAAGTAAAAATATATGCTACGGCAAATATAAATTCCATCAACAATTTCTAAAACAACGTTATAATAAAATACAAAATGTGTCAGAAGGCGGAGCTCAGGAGCCGACCTACTGCGGCAGAATAGTGTATACTGTATAGCCTGTATAGACCACCCATGAAATATCATGTTAGGAAAAACCTGAAAGCAAAATGTATTCTGTAGCGTTAATAAACGCCCCAATGCAAAGTTAGGCGGCTCCAAAATCTTCTCTCACCATTAACTTGTTTTTGCAGTCTTTTATTGTACTCGTGGACTAGGTCTGGAATTAAATAAGTCTGGAGGCTTGGATCATAATGGAATTTAAATGGAAAGTTTTCTCAGACCAGAAAACCTCTACAGACTTTGATAATTATGGGGATCGTAGACTTCTTTTGAGAAGTTTGTCTCTCTCGGCAACTCAGTGCCTTGCCAATGAGAAACACGGCTCTAATGGTGAACAGCTGTCTGCTCTCCGCGTTTGGTCCTGCGATTGAACTAGCGTAGTAAGGAGGCTATCATCGTTATGTGTCTAATACGATTGCCTGCACTGTGCAACTGCTGGCTGTGCCACGCACTAACCAGACGAATCTGCGAGGTAAGCAGGACGCATCCCCAGTCCAAAGCCCTGGGCGATCCTCAGTAACTCAAACCACGCTGTCGGCACATTCACTTACACGCACATGCGTTTTTACTCCTGCGCTTTTCCGGGAGACAGAAATTTCCACAGTTCATGTGAAAAGGGATACCCTGAATTTTTTATGGTAGCACTCCAACAATAATACGTACCGAGACTACACGCCCTTGCCGTCTGAAATCGCGCATATTTCATGCGATTTTAATGATTTCGTGTGCGTTTTGCCGAGGTAGCGCATAAGCGCGTCTTTTCCCCCAGTCGCTCGTTCTCTTCCTCTCAGCTAGACATCTGGATTTTAGTTTTACATTTATTTATGTGGCTAGTGTTGTTTTTGTGGGGCTTTAAAGTAATTTACCTTGTCCTGTTGGCAGCTTAGTAGAAGCTGATGAGGTCTGCAATTACCCCTTACCATTGCCGGTCACTGTGCAATTGCGTGCTTGACCGCAGGATCTTTAAAAGTACAGCCCTCGTGTTGGTGTGGCAGACAGAAATAGAATAGTTTCATGTCTGTTTGGACTGCAGCCCAGCGCAAAACTATGCCGTGCTACTTCACTGACACGGAGTTGCAAAGGAAAGGGGAAAATCCTCAGGTCATTGTAGACTGAGCTGACTCCGGTGGGGTACAGAAGTCGGTTGTGAAGTGCTCCGCAAGCCGGGTGCACTTTGAGGCGCACTCTGCCATTCTGGGTAAGTCTTCGCAACTCGCAAGTCCCTTTATTCTTCACAAATAGCTCCTGCCTCTTCCTCCATGTGTCTACTCTCTAGTCTAGAGTCTCCTGTCATCTGCGTTCAATTTCTGAGCTTAAATCAGGTGTTTCTTGGGAAAATGAAGGCTCCAGCTGGGTAGGGCTTCTTTTGGAGGAGAGTGTGGATCAGTCCTGGACAGTAGCTACCCCCGCTTCGGTTGTGATGGATTCTCCGATTTGGTTTAGGGGCTTTTGCTGACTTACTCAGCTCTATCTCTGTGTTCTTGTACATGATCAACCACCTTTTGTGCTTTATCTACTTCTCCCCTTTCCATGGTCTGTTTAAAAGTCTTTTATTCCCTTACTTGTACCCTGTTTTATTCTTAAATTCGAATCAGGATGCTACAGTTTTATATTTCCTTCTTTTTTATAAAGATGGGTACATCAGCACAGAAAAAAATAGTGTTTTTTTTTTTTTATCAACTCTCTTACATGAGAGTATTAAATGGTTCACCGTGATAGTGTGTTGACAGGATGCATAAGTGTTACCCACTGATCCCTAGTTACAGTAGATTTAATTTCAGCTGTGGAGGACCTACCTGTCTTTGCACATTTTGAGATGTTTGACTGTAGCGAGAAGGTGACCAATTAGGCCTCACCTGCATGATCTGGCAGACTCCCGTTCTCTCAACCAGCAGTCTTGCTCTGGGTAATTTACTACATGTATTTCTTAAATTCCGTTTACCTCTGAGCTCAGCTGATCTTACACGCATATTGCTCCATCATTCAAGCTTGATGGCCGTTCTGTGAAATTGACCTAAAGTAAAACTGAAATCCAAAGAGTGGCGGCGTTGAGTTTGTCTTGATTGATCTGTGCTGATTATCATTTGGATTTGAGCTGTAGGTGTTAAATGCTTTTATTGTGAGTGTTTTAAGGCTTTAAGACCCAGCCTAAGAGTGGCTGTTCTCCTTAGCCGGGACATGCGGATCCGGTTTCTCTCCAGTGCCTTTATAGAAAAGGCTCTTTGTTATAATTTCTCTTTCTGTGCTGGAGCTGAGTCCTGTTCTGTAACCACCGGTTTCTGGTCTGTAAGTAGCCTCCTTGTTATGGGCAGACTGAGGAGCTTGGCTTTGTCTGGGGAAGGAAAATGCTGATGGTCACTGGACTCCCGCCTGCATGCCCCCAAATCCCCCCCCCCCCCATCACCAGTGTTGCTGGCCTGCAGATTATGGATTCGCTTTCAGCGTGGTGCTGTGTCCCACGAGGGCGGACTGAGGTGCTCCACTCTTCCTGGCTGTTGTGAAGTTTTTAATTTAATTATGTATTTGTAACAAGCGGTGTCCTGAGGGTATGGAGGGTACGAGTGAGTCATCTTCTCAGTCTGCCTTCAGTGCCTGATGCTGGGTTGGCATAGTGCGTTAGGAGTGATGTCAGTTCCTGTGTTGGGGACAAAGCTCTCGTGTGATTGTGATCAATAACCATCGAGAATGTGGTGGGGGCTGGTAGTTTGAGTGAGTGACATCTCCCTGTTCAGTGTGATCAGGTTCCATACCTTACAAAAGGAGAGGGGACTTCTTGGTAAGGGTTCGAGTCTCTATGGGATCTTGTACAGGCCACGCCCCCTGCACGGGATTGTCCTCCATGCATGTAGAGAATGCTCCGTTCTCAGTCTTAGGTCTTCATGTCACTTATTTTGATGGTGCCGTGCTGGTTATGAGCTACTGCTCTTTAGAGGTGGGGTTAGTTCAGCAGTCCTGCTGGATCTCCAGCGACGTTCTGGCTCCCACAGATTTCAGCCTCAAGGCGGCTACTGCCCAGCGATTCGGTGAACTTGGGGTTTGTGGCCTTTTGTTTTAATGTGGAAAAAGTGAAGCTGGCTGATCCTCTCTCCTGATAAGGGCCCCTGGCATTAGGTGCCTCTCAAAGCCAAAAAGCAGATTTTGAAATCATCTGGCTAGAGAGTGCGATAGTGCAAAGCTCACTCTTTAGCTCTAGGGAAGTTTTAGCAAAACTTTCGGCTTGAAGCTGGATGGGAGCGATTTGAATCGAGCCCCGTGGCAGCAGCGGAGACGTTCCCGGCGGCGTCGCCATGGTGACAGTGAGGCCACCAGTGGAGGTGGTCTAATGGGCTTCCAGCTGTTGACTTCTCACCTCAAGCGGAGATGGTAGTGATTCCTCAGCGGTTGGGCTTTTTTTTTTAAATTTTAAAATGCAGTTCTCTTCAGAGCCAGTGAAGGTGGCATGTCAGTGATATGACAAAAGTCTCGGGGGGGGTGGCAGTGGTCATAATTAATTGCTTCCACTGTAGAAGAAAATAAATTAGCATTGGAGTCAGATGGTTTCCCAACAAAAACAGGAATTTTATTCTTGTTGTTGTTACCTGATCTGTAAGGCAGGAGGCTATTGGCTTAAATTGTGGGAAAGGTCATTCCTTGGTATCTTAATGTTTTGCATGTGAAATGTGTCCATCTGAGTGGTGGGGAATCATCGCATGATCTCTTTAAAGAACCCCAAGGTTCTGGATGAGTAAATGCTTCACGGATGGGTTGGCCTGAGCTATGCAGGGTCTTCGGGGCTGGAAAGTCTCCGGGCCGCTTGTGCCGGCCAGGCTGATGTGAGCCAGCAGGCTGACTCAGAGCCTCCAAAGGCACGCTCTAATTAAGGAGCCGCACGCAGAAATGTGGCGCGGCTGAAACCCGCGCGGGCCTCTCGCACAGGGTGAGTAACGAAATCCCCAATGGGCAGCCCCACTACTTCGGCTTTCATCTTTAATCGCACCGCTTGGGCACGAGTCTTTGTTTTTTGTGTGTGTGTGCGGAAGGGTAAGTGTACGGACACTCGTTTTGTGAGTGCGGACGACGCGGCTGGGAGGGCCCAGGGTCCCCGAGGAGGCGCATTA